GGCTGCTAAGAAAATTTGCTTAACGTGCCTACCGCGGCTTCGTTGGAGCCAACCACTCTTTTGTTCACAATTGATTCGCCGAGCTGCTGCTTTTTTTTTTTTTTCTTTTTTGCATTTGGGATCCTAGTGCCAGCGCACCCAGTTGAATGAGTAAATTAGCTCTCAGAAATGCGTTAATCGTGGCAGAAATCTCTCTTGCAGCCCAGAGCAATGTCTCAGCTACGTGAGGGGAAAACGAGTGGGGAAAATGAACAGCCCAAATCTCCAGCGTTTCCACTGTCTTAAAAGATTGGGATCAAAGAAGCCGGCTTTAACTATCACAGCTGAGGCTGCAGCTGAGGTTTTTACGGCTGGCTAATCTCGGAGGATGGTAAACTTCCCGATCTTCAAGTGTCTGAAATTGAAACCTGGCGCTTTAAAAAGAGCATCTTTTTGGGCACTATAATTTTCCCATCGGATGAGTCGGGAGGGGAAGGAAAATTGGAATTAAATTTCCTTCCCAAGCTCACACCGGGACGGCCGTAGACCTGCTGAGCGCTCAGTCACGGGGAGGGCGGCCACAGCAAGGCCGAGGCCTCTTGGGCCGGATCAGGAAAAGCCGACCGTTACTATCCATCATCCTCTCACCTGGAAGTAGGGTGGTTAAGGTGGTTGTGGCTGCCAAATTGCCAGGCACACACACCTCAGTATTTCCCGGGCCCTGCGACTGGCCCCAAAACCCCGACTGGATTGGAAAATGATAGTGTTCCTAAAACTCTCTGATTACAGTGTTGGTGAACTGTCTGGAAATGTTCATTCCAGGTGGAAAAACCTTTCCAGTGCCAGAAGCTTTGGGATACAGGATAAAGAAAAAAATCAATTTTTCTAGTAAGATCATCCTCTTTATGTCCAAAGATTTTGTGTGGAAAATAGCATGCCCTATATATATAGAATATGTGATATATAATAACGTATTCTAACAAACAAAGCAACCTTTCTTCAAGTGTAAGACCAAGAAGGACAGCTTTTAGTCCAGAACAATTTGGGGCCATCGGAAACTCCCATAGCTTCTCCAGTATGATAGTCATCATTGTTCGTTTAAGTATTTTAGCAATGGCTGAGAAAACTTCTGATAAAAAGCCTCCCCAAATGCAGATCGGTATACAAAGCCTGCTAAGACAGGTCCCAGCCAAACATATGTCTTCCAAAGTATTCTCTTCCAGAATGCTGACTCAACAAAAAGGCACGTGACTTGGAGAAACTGTGGTGGCTTAAGGGCACTTCAGGCTGACAGGGACTTCAGGCACCATCCCTCACCAGCAGAAGCGAAGGCATCACCAAATCTGCTTTGCAACGAGCCAGCTACAAGAGAAACCCCCAACACAAGAAGGGGAAAAAAAAGGCATGGACAGGGAATGTCTATGTGGTTAGGCAGCAGAAGCAAAGCTCTCTGGAGATGGGTTCAGCATTGCTCAAGGCCAGCAAAGCTGCTCAGTTCCCATGCTTGCTCGTGGCAACAGTGTTTCTTACCCCAGAGCATTTTTTAAAAAAGAACAAAAAGGGCTCTGCAACACCTTTCATCAGTTACTCTCCATATGGTGTGATTGAGCAAATCCCCATTTCCACCTGCAGCGCACAGATCTCCTCCTGGCCATGGGTCTTATTGTGTTGGAGCTTGTTCCTAAGCACCCTTCCAGGACTCCAGGCTTTACCCATGGCATCAGCTGTGAGATGCCTTGGGTAGAAATGCAAGGGCACTCTCTGTGCCGTAACCAGTTCACCTGGCCTCACCCAGCAACAAAAACGCACCTGTGATAGAGTGATGGGCAACACTGACAGTACCTACCGCCTGCTTGACAAAATACTAAAGAGTGAAGGGTCAGCAGGCTCTGTGGGATGTTAATACCTCCCGAGAGTCAACAGCCTGCTTCGTTCAACATGCGCGTCCCTGCAAGGTGCCTCTCCATGCACACAAAACCCTTTTCCCGTTCCAGACGTTCATCGCCTTTTTTGCCATGCCCTGTTTCAAGCCCACCCGCAGCGTTTCTCCACCAACCCTCCCTTTCCTGCAGGAGCTGCAGACCAGAAGAGCAGACGAGTAGACTCTCCCCAGCAGTGCCTGCCTCCCACCCCCGGACTTCTCGGTCTTGCAGAGGTTGTCGCCACCCCATCTTGCTGTAGGGAGAGAACATACCTCTGGGCCCTTAGGTGCCTCTGCTCTTCAGGGCAATACCATGATACACATACCCAGAAAAATGTCAAAATCCAGCCCTTTGCCCTTGGGAAGAGTGCGTTGAAAGCATAGCCACAAAGAGTTAAACCCCAATGTGGTCTCTGAACTGCCTGCCTCAGGGAGTTACCACGCTGCTAACATCTGGAGGCCTAAAGCGTGACCGCTGTAAGCGGACTCTGCAGGGACAGGGACCTATCCATCCTGTGGGACTGGGGTGAGGGCCAAAATCATCAGTGCGACCCCGTGTAAAGGCAGCAGCCCCCGCCTCCCCACCACCACAAAGAAAGGCCACGAAATCAGCATGCTGATCGGCCACAGGCACTGCTACTGCATGGCTTGGGGGAGCGTGTCAAAGGGGGAGCTTGGGTCTCCATACCAAAGAGCAACAGTGACTGTTAAGAAATCGCAGGATAATAGCCCTTTTGAT